TCACTCAACGGAGGTGAGCGCAGTGGGGTTTAAGAGCACGGCAACGTACCAAACCAGAACAGACAGCGTTATTCATTCTCAAGTTGATACTAAGATGACCGAAACATTTGGCTATCCTAAGTCGGAAAGCAAGAAAAAAGGTCATTATGTTGTAAAGGATCTGGTAATTTTTCCATTCCCGTGGCTTTTCACACCAAACCCACATTGCGGTAGGTTCCTGTCTCGCTCGTCACCATCCAGCAAAGCCCCTTTGGTGCAGCACACGCACACGCCGAGCTCTAATGCACGTTGGTGGTAGGAGAAAACACAACAAAATCCAAAACACAGAAACATGTTAGAAGTCATAATGAGTTTTTACCTGTTGCTACAGTATGGGTGTGTATTTGTGTTTTATCAATACTTGAACACTTTTCAAGCTTCTCATGCACTCGCACACCTGCACAGCTGCCCTCGGCGCTTCCCAAGCTCGTGGTCACAAACATGACGACTCAAACCGAGCACGGAAATGGGTGACCAGGAGAAAGTTAATGCCATTTACCTGGTGATGGCCAAATCTTCGGTTTTGAAGCATATTACAACAAAATGCTTGGATTGGTTAATGTTAGTCTTGCTAATGATTAGCCTATCCTTGTTCTGCTTTTGTACGATGTAATTCTTTGAAATCCCCGTTTGCCCACACAAACCCAGCAGCACACTGCAAACGGTTAGAGGGCCTGGAACCACCCCCGCCTGGCCCAGCATCCTGGACAGGACAAAGCTGTTGCCCTGATCTCGGTGACACTGGTGTCCAGCGGCCTGGGTTAAGAGAGGAAAGCTCATGCACCAACACGTGAACTCCCACCTCCTGAGTTCAGCTGTAAAATTGTTTTTGTGCTCCAAAACCGGTTACGTTGGGACAGGGAAGAGGAGGAAGCTGGCAGTTTTGATGATGCAAAATGAAAGTAAATACACAAAACCAAGATTTGAGTTGCAGCTAAAAAAAAAAAAAAACAAAAACAACAAAAAAAAATCAATGCAAAAAAAATAGACAAACCAAAGAAAAAGGAGAATGGCCCCAGCCCACAGCTGGTAACAGTCCAAAGATGACCACCGCCGCAGCAGGGACTTTGCAAACCCCAGGTACCCGCACTCGTGCAGCTGAAAGCTTTCCCCACGGCTGCTGCTCTGCCAGCCCTGCACAGCAAGGAGAGGGGGAGAACTAGCACACGGTTTTAATCCCACCCCCCCCATCCCCTTCACCTATCAAAATGTTTTAAAATAACCAGAGACAGCCTGGCAGTCTACAGCGGCTGGGCTTTTTTTGCGCTAAAGCCAAACACGCCGACAGAGGCAGCTGCCCCGGAGCGCTGCCAGCCTGGCACTTCCCACCCATGGCTTCTTCACCCTGAGCTGCAGAGCAGCTTCTCAGAGACACCTTCCTGGTGGGAATAACTGGGTTCCCTCCCTCCTTTCCCTCCCGACCCGTCCGTCACACTGCCTTGCGGGCAGTTTCTCGCTGGGCTTTTAATCCATCAGGTTTAAGACGGCAGCTTCTTTGCCTGCGTGGAGATATGCGGCACAAATCCAACGTCCAGGTTTCCCTCAGCCTATCAGCCTCCACGATCCCTCCTGCCCGAGAGCTCCGGTGCAGGCAAGAGCTCTGATGGCCTCACAAATTGGGCTGCAGGCACCAAGTGCACATCAGCCACCAAACAAGGTCCTGGCGACCCGTCCTGCTGCAGCATGGTAGGACCAGCTTTTCCCCCAGGGAGAGGTTTCCAGTGTCCGTCAGTCTGTGGGGACACCATGGTCTCATGTGGTCTGTCCTTCCCACTCCGAGAGCAACCAGAATTCCAGCGCAGGTACCCAGACACGCAGGTCGGTGCCTGCAAGAGGGGGAAGCAGATGTGGACACGAGCAGAGGGGAACCCAGTGTGGCAACTGAGTCCAACCCAGCCACATCACGCAGCCCCTGGGCAAAACCAGTGAAGGATCAGTCGTCTGCAAAGTCAGTGCAACTATTCCCGTACAGTGAACCCTTGTTTCCGCTGCCACCTCCAGAAAAGATTTCACCAACACAATAACAAAGGAGCACTATTTTTCTCCTTTCTCTACTCCTGAAAAATTAGGACAGACCAGTGAGAAGCTGCAGCCGAGTGGCAGGAGGAGTACAGGCTGGGCATAGGCACTTCACCCTTTCCAGCACTGGTTCTTCAGCAGGCACCACCTCTGGGCACCCAGCAGGATAAGAGCACTGCAGACGTACCAGCACGCTTGCCATAAGCTTGCTTCCCAGCTGCTTTGGAGATAGCACACATGGCATCTCCTTCTGGTTTCGAGCCTCTTGACTCTTCCATAGCCCCCTGCAAAGCTTTGCTGTCCCGTCTCCCATTTCCTTCCAGCTCCCCCTCCATCTGCAGAAGCATGAGCACGAATCACTTGCACAGCTACTTACTTGCACTCCCTTTCATACGAGCTCAGCAGCCTTTTCTCTTCCCTGGAGCTCTGAGGTTTAGACCTTGTGCTTCGACTAGAGAGAGCAAATCCAGCAGCAAATGTTCTTTGAAAGCAAGAAGGAACTAAAGCTCTTTTACCCACAGCTTGGTGAAATTCTCCTCCAGCATCTCAGACAGTGCTTGGTTGTTGCAGAGTGACCAGCAAAGCCCGTTTGCACCATTTCAGCGGGTTAGAAGGTGTCACTGGGCGCAACACGGCACTGGCAGCAGAGAGGGGGTTTCCAGCCATCCAGCTCACTGGATCAGCATGGAAGTAGCGCATAGATTTTTTACGTAACCGGTGGCTGTGCTTGCTCGGACTTGCTACACATGGGAGTTTTCTCCATTCATACCATGAGTGGGGGAAGGTTTTAACACCACCTGAGAAAACAGGACTAGAGGCAACTCAGAGCTGCAGATGTTTGTCATGAAAGCACACAGGAACTGTTCTTGTCTAGGCACAAGTGTCCTGAGAGACAGAGATACAAAAATTCCTTCCTGCTCTAACGCACACCTTTCTGGACACAGCTGTGTCTTTGTTGAAAAAAGAGGTCTTGGTAACCCTCCCTTACCTGACAGAACAGCGTTGTCTGTAACTCTGAAGTAGCTGATTGCTTTGGGAAGGAATTGGACTAACAGATTATTCAAATTTTGCCAAGAAGGGGGAAGGTGAGCTGGGATCCTGCTTGCACTGCAGAGCAAGGGGTGGAGGGCAACAAGGCAACATCAGCCAGAGGAGTTGCTGTTAGCAAGGGGCAAACATCAAGGCCCTTTTTGTGCCATATTGTTTGCTTTCTGCAGAATATGTTATGTTTGTCTTGCTGGCTACTTCTGGGATATGTATGAAAGAGCATTTTTTATGCTCAGTGAGTTAATTATTAGCCATGGACAAGCGGTCACTGAGCAATTAGAAATCACAATACAAGGAAGAAAGCACAACAGAACACCTTTCATCTTAGCACGGAAACAAAAGCCTTTTTCTACTTCTGGGAATTACCCTTAATAAAATTGTGTCACTTGGAGCCCTGAAATCAAATTCCTCTGAATGTTTGCAAAGGCTTTCCTTGGCACCTATCATCATCTCTATAACTGGGAATAGGCAGGTAGATCAACAGCCATGCTCAGGAGATGCACATCCCCACCACTGCACCTCACAGTGTCCAACGGTTCAGGCCAAAGAAAACAGTCCAGTGAATTAAGAGCCTTGGCTTCCTCTGAGCCAGCACTCAGCCCAAGACAAGGGGAAGGAGAGAAATACTCATCCTGAAGACTAAGGACACATGTCAAGAGACACACAGTTTGGGTTGGCATTCCCCAATTGCCACCATTGAGGCCTGGCCATGGGTCAATTTTGGTGCAATAGGTTTGGGTGGACACACAGGTGGGACAGTGCTTTACTTGGGTTAAGTCAGATTCTTGGAGGGGTGGGGTGAGGGGTAAATCCCTGCATCTCATTAACTTCACCAGCAACTGAGGAAGGAGAAAAAAAAATAATGTAGAGATGAAAATATTACCCTTTGTCTCTTTTGTATGTCCTTGAGGAGAACAGGCAAACAGAGAGCAGTAATCAAATACGGGCTTCAGACAGGAGCTCTGCTCTATGACATAAGGAAGAAATTTTTACGATGAGGGTGGTAAGACACTGGAATAAGTTGCCCAGAGAAGCTGTAGATGTCCCATCAGTGGAAGCGTTCAAGGTCAGGTTGGATGGGGGCTTTGAGCAACATGTCCTAGTGAAAGATGTCCCTGCCCATGGCAGGGGGGTTGGACTAGATGATCCTCACACATCCTTTCCAAACCGAACCATTCTGTGAGAGCAGGTTTTCCTAAGGAGTGGTTTTGGCACCCAAGCTCACAGCGAACAAGCCTTCCTTTCACTGCAAGAACAACACTGAAAGAAAATATGACCCCAGCTATTAAACTATTGGAAGCAATGTTATCTCCCAGCAAGGGTCAAGTGAGCAGTTGAGCTCCGGGTCGCCACCTGAGTCTCACATCTGCCAGGGCTCAGTGGCTTTTGGACCATTTTTGGACTTCAGCCTTGTGATGGGCTGTTCTGATTTAGGAGTACAAAACCAGATACCACTTCTGATTCTGAATCATGTCTCCTCTGGTTTGGCCAAAATCGCTTTTTATGCTGTGCACGCTGCCACCGTTGCCTGCCCAAGGGACACCGTGCTCCGATGGACACACCGGTGGCTTGCAGGCACTGCATTAACCAAGTTTGTCGTAAGAACCCCTCCCCTCATTTTGCAGAAGGGAAGACTGGAATGTTGGGATGAGGCCCACGGGCAGTCATGATGCCATGAAGCAACACAGGCAAGAGCAGCGTTACCACGTCTCTCTTTCCCATTCAATTGCTTGACAGAAACAATTAAATGTTGTATTTCTCTTTAGCTCAAGTAGCCACAACCCTTGTATCCTCCAGGCATGAGGATTATTAGACAACTTGATCGGTTAAGTTAACCATTTTGCAACTGTGATTATCCACCAACTTCTGTGCCTTTTCCAGGGAATGCCAGAAAAATGACTTTAGTATTGTTCATCGTCCTGCTCGCCTTCCTCCCAGCTGAATCTGCAAGCAGCAGATACCTCCCCAAGGCAGCATGTAAGTGTAACCTGTCTGGGGCACAGGTCTTGCGGGTGGCCTAAGGCCAGGGGGGAGCAGGGTCCAGGGAGTGTCTCTACCCCATCAGTGCCCATCACTGCCACGGGACCTTTCAGACCACAGGATGCTGCCCAGCCCCGGGACACCCGCCCCGCTCAGCAGCCCCGTCGGGTTGCGTAGCACCGCTGACACTTACAGCCGACGTGTTTTCCTCCTGCAGATGCGAGCCCTGTGTTCGGACCGCGGCAGGTGTACGGTCTGCTCGACGGGTCGGTTACTGTGAAATGCTTCTACCCTCCCACCAGCGTGAACAGACACGACAGAAAGTATTGGTGCAGGGAATCAGCCACGGGCTGCAGGACCGTCGTCTCCACCAGCGGCTACACCGCTGCAGGCTACCGAGGCAGAGCCTCCATCACTGACTACCCCCAGGCAGAAAACTTCCAGATCAAGATCTGGAACCTTACAACGGCAGATGCAGGCACCTACCAGTGTGGTATTGGTATCAACGGCAAAGGGCTCTCCTACCAAGTTGGTCTGGATGTTTCTAAAGGTAATTAAAGGCTTGGGGGTCCTTAAAGTATTATTTTCTTTTACTTTTTCCCCCCGCTGTTTAATAAGGCTCCACAGATAATCTATCCAGCGTCCAAGAAATCAAGATGCTCCAAGCTTTCAGGAAACAGCAGATTCCATTTTCCCTTGTGCTCTCACAGAATGAATTTTTTGACCAAAAATCTGACATAAAAATCAGATTCAACAAACCTCACCTTAAGGCCACAAACACTGCTTAGAAACTGCTGACCTCCCTCAGCCACCGAAATTTAGGGAGACGCAGTCGGAGGGCAGAACTTCCCGTCGCTCTGCTGTACCCTCCCACCCACCGCCGAGGCCGCGCGAGCCAAGCGGTGTGCGGGACAGCACCGCTCCGCTGGGCCAGGCTCCGGGTGCAGAGCACGGTGAGAACTCGTGGCACAGCCGCTGGCAAGGCGGCTCTGGGAGAAACCCCGCCACAGAGCAGGCAGTGATACTGCAGAGACACGTCAGTCCTGAAATGCATGGGACGCTGCTGGGTAGATCATGCTCTGGCCAGGAGCAGCGTGTGACCACATAATACAGCGAAGCAGAGAGAAACCCTATGCTGAAAAAAAGCCTTCAGAGGTAGAGGGGAGCTGCACGCAGTTGCCAACAGAGCGGGCAGTGTGCGCTGACTGGTGTCTCTGTACGCACAGGTCCGCACGTCCCCGAGGGAGCCGAGCTCTTCTACGTGCAGCTCCACAGCACTTTGACCATGTCCTGCAACTTTGGGGAGAGCTCCGTGGCCATGAGGAAATACTTGTGCAAGTTGGAGAAAGACGACTGCCATGACATCATTGACAGCCACGGGAATGTGGATCAGGATTACATGGGGCGAATTCTGCTGAGCAATGTGGAACCTGCAGGCTCGTTCAGCATCACGGTAACTCAGATGGACTGGGAAGACTCTGGCTTGTACCTGTGCGGGGTCGGCTTCTATGGGGAGAGTGGAGAAACAAAGGAACTGGATGTGCATGTCTATGAGGGTAAGCTATTCCCGGTGGTTTTTCCCTTCATCCCTGCTTCCCTTTAGAAGCATCCCTAGCAGTCTCACTTTATTTAACAAGAATTTTGATTTCCCTTTGCAGAGTGCTATTATCCTACCCACTCACCTAGAGACTTGTTTCTATTCATTTAACTATCCGTGACATACTAAACTATCACTAATAAAGCTTGTATCAAGACTTTACTTTCCCAGTAGTGGCTAGCTATCTTCCCCAGTCTGACTAACCCAAAACTCCACAAGGCAAGTTCTGCCTATCCATTTGAGGCGAGCAAACTGTCTCTTCAAGTCTTAATTCCTTAGACCTCAAAGTGACAGATGTAGAAAGGAGAAGACCTGCCCTTCCCCTAGCAAAGGGAGCAGAACTTTAAAATGTCAGTATGCAAAGACACCGACCACCCAGTGAGTCTGGGAAAAAGAAAGGCCTGACAGACCCTTTAGGGTCAATTCCTAGCAGGGCCAGGGCAGTCTCCTACCATTTGCACCCCTGAGCTTCACCTAGCCTTGCTTTAGCCAAAACAGCTTTGTTTGATCTGATAATATTTATTCTCTTGGAAGAGTGCCACAAGGGCAAAAGTTAGACATGTATAGATGCTCATTTCATTTTTATCTCCAGAGTCAAATGTTCCTCAAGGAAAGCCCGTAATAATTGGAGTAAAAGGAAGTTCTGCCACATTTGAATGCCACTACAACCCTCTAAGAACATCCTCACTGAAGTACTGGTGCAAGTGGAGAAATAACGGGTGCGCTCGGATCATAGACAGCGAAGGGTATGTGTCAGGCTTGTATGAAGGAAGAGTGGCCATGTACGAGAACCCAGTTAACAACACATTCACCGTCATCCTGAACCAGCTGAAGGACAGTGACAAAGGCTATTACTGGTGCATGACGGACGAGGAGAAGGAGCAGAAATCATCAACTGAGCTGAAGATCATAGACGGTACGAGCTTGCGCGTTGGCAGTTCTCTGCCTGCACCACAAAGGAGTAGATCTGGCTTTTTGGGAAGAGATGTGAGGTCCAGCTCTGAGCATCTATGTCATAAGGCAAAGCATTGTGCCAATCCACCCCCATCCCAGTAGCTTTAAAGTGGAAACACAAGGTTTCAGTTTTAGGGGAAAGCGTTCACAAAAGTTTCTCATGCAAGTATTCAAGTCTTGCAAAAAATCCTCCAGTGTTCACGCAGAGAAGTGGAAACACAAGGTTTCAGTTTTAGGGGAATGCGTTCACAAAAGTTTCTCATGCAAGTATTTAAGTCTTGCAAAAAAATCCTCCAGTGTTCACGCAGAGTTGCATATCCAGCATCCTTAACATTAATTTAGGGATGTAAGGAGCACTTTCCCTCAAATATACATCTCCTGGTTCACCATCTCTAGCAGCACCACGACCTGTTGACTACCATTCCCACCGCTGAAACCACTAACATCAGCCTTGATGTTCTGTTTGCCCTTGCAGGAGAACCTGGGCTGCAGGGACCACAGGAAGTGGAGGCACAAGTGGGTTCACGGGTCAATTTAACTTGCTCTTATCCGTGCAAGTACTACTCCTACCAGAAGTACTGGTGCCAGTGGAGCAACACCGGCTGCCAGCCCATGCTTGCTTCTGACCGAAGGCAGCCAGAGCCGAACGTTGCCTGTGACACTGACGACAGGACGGTTATCCTGACCTTTGACCCGGTGGAAAAGACAGACCAAGGGTGGTACTGGTGTGGAGTGAAGCGCAGTGGCCTCTTCGGGGAAACCATGGCAGTGTACCTGACGGTGACTGGAGGTGAGACCCAAGGGGAATGCAGGCAGGGGCTTTCCTGCTTGTCAGGGCTGTGACAAATCACGCTGCTTTCCACTGAGAGAAAAGTCCTCTCCATAGCCACTAGGTTGCAGCACCTCAAAACAGAAGTGCTCTCACCCAGGCAGCCACCCAGTCCCGGTGTCGAGATCACCCTGATTTTGTGCGACTTGTCATGGGTGTTTTCATCCACTCGTTGGTTTTTTCTTCCCAGTCATAGAAAAACCCACCAGTCTAAAAAAAAAAACAAACAACTTCCTTCCACACCGTTTTTACTTTTTAACCCTGTCCTTACTGGTTATCGCTATTACAATTTGTAGCATCTTAGATTAAGCAACATCTGATGCCTGCCAGGTGAAGGACTGCGCGCAGTCCAGAGACACATCCTGTACAGGGAGTCAGCAGGAAAACAGTGGGGAGCAGGAAAGGAAGAGCTACCACCACCAACAAGGGGCTTAGTCTCAGCTTTGGTGCAGTATTTTGGAATTAAGATGTTTTTCTCAGGGAGAAATGTTGGAAGCAGAGAAAAAGTATAGCACTAGGTATCCACATGCAACCATCCTAAGCTGATGATGGTCAAAGTGAAAACAGAAACAGCCTCAATTCATTGCCCTTGGTGGGCGAAGGGCTAGAAACAAAAGCAAAACAAGTATTCAAAATTTATCCTGGAAATACTAGAGGCAGAACTTAGAGAAGTTCTTGAAACAGTATGTAGGCAGAGAGCGCCCACTTCAGATTTTTGCAATAAGTTGTTTGGAATGAGATTATTCCAGATCTCTAAGCCTCATTTTAAAGAGCCTCTCCTGGACAGCCAAAACCCGCTGCACTTCCACGAGCACCTCATACACCCAACCAGCTTCTGCATCACCATCTCTGTGCTGCTGCTCATGCAGCTAATCCCGCTTCTCCCCTGGGAAATGTAGGAAGCGATGCCAGCCGCAGCCTGGACCTCCTGAACCTTGACAACCCCAGCCAAGATG